CACAACGATCATCTTCGGTTGGCAGATCAATGAATCAACCGGCAACTTTGCGTCTCACAGAACGACATTTTCCATCATATATACCAAATGTCAATAGAAATAATAGAATATGTCGAAGAAGACGTGTTGTATGCTCGTCACATCAAGTAAGAACATGAACAACTTATATTTGCACAGAGTGTGATGCTTCTCTTTGTGTTCCTGTTTGCTTCAAAGATTATCACACAAAATTGCATTACTAGTTAGAAATTCTTTGTATTCTCATAAAAGCATGCTTTCTTTTCTTTGAAATACCAAATACAAATAAAAGAAAAGAAAATATTAAAAAAAACGATTTTTCAATTTTTTCGAAAAAAAGCCGGGACTGAAAGGTTTAAAAATGGAAAAAAAATAAAAGGTTGTTTTTCTCCTTGATATCGATAAGAATGAGCTTTTTGTTTGTGGGCTAGAAGAGAAGAGACAAAAGAATTCGATCCATCACATCAAGATAACAAAACAGCGGCAATTTTAATTGAATTTTTCGCGTTATCTTCATGACACAAAATATCAGTGGACTATAGAATAAACAACAAGATATAAGAGTTGCAATATTTTTTGTTACTTTACGCTATCGATCCATTTATCTAGTGCATAAGCAATTGTTATATGCGATCGATTATTGCGTGCTGGAGACCTTCTCTCTATTGATTTTTATCGTAACGTAATAACGAGTCGAAAAAACGCACATTCATTCCACTTTTAGATGATAGAGGGTAGTGAAGAGGTGATACCATTAAATTTGAGTGTATCTAACACTCGAAAAGATAATGAAATTGAAAAATATTTCGATTTGACAAATAATATTAAAACGGTAACTCTAATAAGTCCTTATGGTAATGTAGCATTACATGTTGCTACTTGTTATGGATCTAATGAAATTGTTCAATTACTAATAACAAATAGTGCATTAAAATCACTCGGAAATATTTCATATCAATTCTCATATTATGATGAAATAAAAAAATTATATCAACAACATTCGAATTTATTTTCTTCTCATGAAGAAATTGAAGATTATGATTATATTGAATGGTCATCAATTGGTAGTAATTTAATAAAAAGACGTCAAGAGTTTCGTGCACAGATTGATTTATACAAGACTTATGATAATCAACATCATTTAATAACAAAATTATTAATTGATATAATTCAATATTATTTAAATGAATATTTAGTTCAACAAGAACACTTTCCAACAAATGAAACAAAAAAAATAGAACTTTTATTTAGACAAGCTATTGAAGAACAAAATTATTTAATATATTTTATTAAAGCTTATACATCAACTAATAATTTTCATCATGTTCTTAATAAACATCTAGCATTATATATATTAGATTATTTTGATATATCTTCCTATTCTTCTTCAGCAACACGATATCGTTTAATTAATTGTTTAGTACATATTGTTACATTATTAATTAATCATCCAGATCTACATAAATATCAATATAAAGGTATTACATATCGTGGTTTATTAATGAAGGAAAATGATTTAAAAGATTATATTATTGGAAAACATGTATTAAATCGATCATTTGTATCAACATCAAAAAATCGTAAAACTGCTCAAGTATTTGCTGATAATAGTCAACAAACTTTAACTCAAGTATCTGTTTTATTAAAATATACAATTAAATTAAATCAAACAGCTATTGATATTGAAGACATATCAACGATACAAGATGAAGAAGAAGTGTTAGTATTACCATTTTCAGTATTTAAAATTAAAAATAGATTTGAAAATCGTCCAGAAATGTGTTCACCAATGTTAATTGAAATTGATTTAGAAGAATGTGAAGATAATGAACAAATAAATCATGAAAACAAGAACAGTGAGTAATATCATTTTAAAAGGCCATTCTCATTCACACAGAGCTCTTCACTGTGAATAGCACCCTGAATTTTTTAAAAATTTTACCTTCTCTTGTTTATCGATCATGTCTTATGAAAACTTCATCGCTTTCGAAACTTTTTAAAATTCGTCTGAATGAGCGTAACTATTCTACTTATTCTGGTAAGATCGATCGGTCTGGAATGTTCAGAAGACGTGTAAAAACGGTTAAAAATGTCAGAAACATTTAACAACAAAAAGAATCTTATACTATACTCTACAGGTGGCCCATAAGTAGTACTACGATAAAAAGTTCAAACATTTCCACTCCGGTTCAATTCAAATCGACTGATTTTTTGGTTGATGGTAGAACTTTATTCAAATTTTTTTCACACAGATATTGTAAATAAATACTTCTATTAAGTATTATTGTTGACCTCACTAAAGAAATTTTACTTATCATCTAAGAGAACAGCAAGAAGAAATCAAAACAGACTTTATGAATGATATAACATTGATGCAAACAGACTAGTTTTTAAGAAATAATTAGTTTAGAAATCAATGACTACAATATTTTGGATTTTCGAGAAAATTGGTAAATCGGTTTCCAAAGGAATTTAATTGTCCGTTTTAGTTTTGGCCGCGATAGTTGAGTGGTTACTTTGTTCGGCACGTACCCACAAGGTAATGTGTTCAAATCTCAGTAACATCACCCATGAAATGACCCTGGGCAAGTCACTAACGGCTAAGTTGTCTGAAAATGACTCATTCCACATGAGTCATTCGTGCTGACTACATCTTTGGTCAGTATGTTGGACGGAACAGGGTGCAGATACTGCCGTCGGTAAAAAGATAAGACGAAAGAACCCGGCTGCATGTGGAAACTATAAATAATAACCGCGGTCGGCCCCAACGGGCGATAAGCCTATGGGACGTTATTATTATTATTATTATTTTAGTTTTGGGACACGAATTTTAGCGCTTAAGGCCACCCCCCCCCCCCTCAAAATTTGATCTCAGCTCCGGAACATCGAGATAGCATGAAACTTTGGGGATATGTTGGAGGCGTAAAAGTACGTCTCTGGTAAAATTTTCAGCCTCCTATCCTGATATATAAAGTAGATACGGACCAAAAATTGGTCGAAAAATAGCTTATCGCATCACCGAAAATTCTTTATGGGTGTTCATTCAATTTCGGTCATTGTTTTTTCATATGAAAGAGCGTGTCAGGATGCAGTGCCTGTGAGGGCCCTTTTTTTAAAATTCTTATCTTTAATAGGAGAAAATGGTTCACAAATTTAATCACTCAAAAATTCCGCCAAAAAAATTCATGCTTATATTATAAAGTCGCTTTTCAATATAATAATAAGAAAGCTTTATCAAAAAAAGGGCCCTCACAGGCACTGCGTCCTGACATGCTCTTTCAAACAAAAAAAAATATTTGACTTCATATCGCATTTTAGTTGACTTTTCTTGGTGATACGTCGTTCGACTACAACTTTCAGAAAAAAAGAAAAAAATTTCGGAATTTTTTAAAAACCGCTGGTTTTTCGAATAGGGGTTGTCAAAAATCTATACAATTTTTGGAAAAAAAGGAGGTACCGAAGGAAAATTTTTATCATTTATATAAGGACAAATGACAGGCTATACTCCTATATATTTATTTCGATTTCCAAGATTCTGACGAAAAGTGACTTTTTTGAGGAGGGGGGGGGGTGCCTTAAATTAACTATTTCTTAAAAATTAATCTTTTTGTATCAACGTTGCATCGTTCATAAAGTCTGTTTTGATTTCTTCTTGCTGTTCTCTTAGATGACAATTAAAAATTATCTAGACAACGCTTCACATATATTTTTCTTGTCAACAAATAAAATTTCTTTAGTGAGGTCAACAATAATACTTAAAAGAAGTATTTATTTGCATTATCCGTATGAAAAAAAATCTGAATAAAGTTCTACCATCAACCAAAAATCGGCCGATTTGAATTGAACCGGGGTGAAAATGTTTGAACTTTTTATCGTAGTACTACTTACGAGCCACTCTGTATACCGAGAGACCTTATACGATGAGCTTATTTCTAAAAATTTTGACCGAAATGCGAGTTCTTTTGCTTAGATTTCGGTTTACTGGAAATCTTTAATTCAGAATTATTCGTGAAATCTTTTTAGCCACTGTTCGACAAGTTGGTTCACAAAAACTC